ATTTCGATTTTTTACGATTAAGTAAATGAATTGGTGTGGAGTCCCCTGTAAAGCCGGCACACCGCTTCACTTCTGCGAAAAATGGGTTAAAGTGTATCAGCAGGATGTTTTAGCAGCCTTGGTAAAGCAGTTAAGCAATACTCTATTCGTTGAATGATCACTGGATCTGCCACCATGATTTTGCTCCAGCACACAAGGCAAAAACCACCCAGCAGTGGCTTAAAAGCAATATTGCCGGTTTTATAGCTGCAGATGGTTGACCATCTGGTAGGTAAGATTTCAATCCATTGGACTAAACAGAGTCTCAAAAAAGTCGTTGGTTAATTGGCGTGATCAATAATAGCACAATGGTCGAATCGTTTAAGGGTTTGTGTGAATGCAAAAGGTGACCAGATCGAATAAAAGTTTGTACATCACTTAAATTAACTTTATTAAAAATATTATTATATTTTCTTTTTTACCACAGGCAGAACAGAACAGTAACAGAATTTATGGCAGGATTAACATACATATATACATACGTATATGTAATTATATATCCATGCATATACATATGCACATATGTATGTACATAAGTAAATATTAAGCACCAACTAAAGCTTTTCGCTTATTAATCACCTTTTCTATGGAATTTCCATGCCGATCCGCATCAGAAATTACACGTATCCACTATGAAATTCAGCAGCCGATAAACACATTTTTTTGTTTTGTTGAAACTTTTATCAAATTACGCAGCTTTCGAACATTTTTATTGAACAATTTTCACAGTATTTGCAACTATTTGGATTTTACGCGCAATTTTTCTTATCACAGACGTCTGGGCGTTAACATATATTTGTAGAACACTAGTAAATATAATATATAGATATTAGTATATATGTATGCAACACAAAGGCGCTCGTGGAAGTTATTTGCGCGGTGTGGGCGGTATAACGAACGCTTGCGCACAATACCAGACCGATGGGAATATGTAGCAAAAAAAAAAAATTTTAATAAAATTGTAATCAAAATTTAAAACAAAAAATGCTTGAAATTCGTCAAAACATTTTTAGGCAAAATCGAACTGCGGCGATACGCAAATTTTTCGCTTTGCCTTTGCAGTTATCTATTTCATATGCCAGCGCGTATTCACAGCGCTTTTCAGCTGACTTTAGTACAAGTATGAAATCATGGGAACAACACACTCGACGCTGCAATTACTACACAATGCAACAACAACAATAACACAAAACTAATAACAATTATGAACAACAACAAAAACAGCCGCACAATCAGAACGACGCGGTGTGGGACGGCACAACACGGCACGGCGTTGCTCGAGACGGCGGATATGATGGAGCTCAGAAGAAAGAAATCCGCAAAAAATAACACAACAAAAATAAATTTCAATATAAATTCGATTTACGCGACTACTATTGTTCGTTATAAACGCTTCGCTCTGACTGCGATTGAAACTTTGCTGTGCTTAACCGCTGAGCGTTATAGCTATGTACGAGCGCTACGACGTTTGTGAACAGCGTTGCTAGACGAGCTTATAGACGTAGTACCGAGCCGAATGCTGCGTGTATATCCAAATCGGTCAGCGTACTGTCAGTAACTGTGCAATTGACGTTCAGCTGAAAGTCGAGTTGGTGGCATAAGCTACTACTATTAAGCCAGTGAGTGGTCTTGTCTGTATGGAATAACACACACATCTGATGATGAGGTTTGAGCAGAAGCTAAGATTGGAGCAGCAGCTGAGGTTAGAGTTGAAGCTGAGGTTGACGCTGAAGCTGTGGTTGATGTTGAAGCAAAGCTTGGAGCTAAGGTTGACGCTGAAGCTGGACGCAGCGACGTGGTTGACGAGTGTGTGGCGAGCGCAATGGAGCGGCAAGTGTGACTGTGCGCCATACGCAGTTTGAGCTGCGTTGAGATAAACAAGTGCTGATCGACTTCCTGCATACATATCAGCTCCTAAATATATGAATATATATACCTACATGTGTAAAATAGTGACGATATTAAGAACGGTTCGGTCTTGCTGGCTCTACCAGAGACAGAGCTTGGCGTAAACTTCAATGCACGGCTGTAATTGGCACTCCGGTGAGCGCGAAGAGTGAACCTGTAGTGTACACCACCCGCTAGTGGTCAACAGAGTCAACGTAAACAACAACGTCATCAATGGCATCCACAAGATTTAGGGTACTATTCCTATATGCTCAGCTTAGACCATTTGCTTTCACAAGTGCTCTCTCACTCTCTCCATAATATTCTTCTCTGAAATGCTTGTAATTCGCGTCTGTGTGATCTTCGTACCGCAATCGTATTTCGTTTAAGTAGTTTATTTGCATTTAATTGAAGTTCAGGCGAACGATTCGGTTTACACATGGCTGCTTTGCGTGCTCGTGCTGTATTTGCCGACTTGCTGCTGACAGCAGCTTTACACAATAGTTGGGTCAACCAGCCATACTACTACTGCAGCTATCACTACATACATACATATGCCCAGCATATCCACCCTCATTATGAAAATGTTGAAATTAATCTGATAAATAATTTAACTGATTATCGCTTCATTGAAGTTGTTGTAAGCGCGGTGGCGCACACTGTCACCAAACATAACTGCTTTCCATGTCTACAATTTGTCTACACATGCGTGTGACTTGATCTTTATACTTGTATGAAATTGCAGCATGAGAAGGTTTTGTGCTCGTTTCACAGAGTTTACAGGCATTTAATTGAATTTAGGAGACGAGCTCGGATTGAAGCTGTAAGCGCCGGTTTGTTGTTTTGAAGTTTGAGTGACAAAGTTTTACATATATAACGTTTTTATATATGAATATTTATGTATATAGGTGGTATTTTAGAGAAATAGACCTTTAATTAACTGAGGTTACAGAAAAGCAAGAAAAACCGTTAACTTCGGTTGTACCGAAGCTATAATATCCTTCATAGTTGCAATTTTATAGCATAAATGAATGTTAAAAGATCATTTTCTTGAGTTTGATCGTTCAGTTTGTATGCAGTTATATGCTATAGTTGTCTAATCAGTACAGTTTGTTCGGAGATTGTAAAACTAACTTGGACAACAATCAATGCCAGATTTTCGTGAAAGTATCTCTAAATAAGTTTTCAAGAACTTGATTTTGATCGTTCAGTCAAAAAATATTCTGATGAAGTTGTTGTTGTTGAAGCATGATAATTTTATGGAATGCTTCCGAACACGTTAACATAACCGGATATAAATACGGCTCTCGTTCCCATGCCAGTCGGGTCTACGTAGCCGGAACGGAACCGGATTTTTTCCGGCCAAGTACTGTCAACTCGGCAGCATTCCTAGAAATTACTTAAGGGATGTTTTCTATGTAACCGGAACGGCATTCATATTACGAGGGCTGCTATATAGCTGGCTGGCCTAGGCAACACTAAGTGTTGCCAGGTGCAATCTGACATTTCCATTGGAAATTTTGACATTTTTTAGCATAACATCACTCAGAACATTTTGTCATTTAATCGTGAATTGTTTTATTTACAGGGAATTAAAAAATTCATCTCGGCTAAAAAATGGAATTAACTCGTGAATATTTTCGTGCGATCATTTTTCACAATTTTCGACGTGGATTATCACGACAAGAGTGCATCGATGAACTAAAATCTTTGTATGGCTATGAAGCACCATCCTATAGCACTGTGAAAAACTGGTACAACGAATTCAATCGTGGCCGACGCTCGCTCAAAGACGAATTCCGTGAAGGTCCTCCAAAAACAGCCGTTGTGCCAGAAAACATCGATGCCGTACGTGAACTGATAATGCAAGACCGTCATGTAACATACCTTCAGATAGAGGCATGCCTATGCATTTCTCCCACCAGCATACATTCGATATTGCATTAACACCTGGCCGGACCTCGTTGGATCCCGCACAATTTGACAATCGCTCAAAAAAAGGCTCGTGTGGATTGGTGTAAAGAAATGCTGAAAAAATACGATCGCGGTGCTTCAAAAGACGTTTATAAGATCGTCGAATCATGGATCTATGCGTATGAGCTTGAAACAAAACAGCAATCGACCGAAAAAAAAAAACATTTTCGTTGATAAATGTTCGTATTTTCATTATTAGGCCAGAAATATATATAGCAGCCCTCGTACCTCAGGGATTTTAGAGCAGAAAATTTCGGGAACTGTAGTCTAACGGTATTTAATATTTAACTCACCACCTCATCCCATGGTGCGACTCCATCGAGATAACTCGTTTTCCGTTGAATGATTCGATGATAATTAGTTTTTAGTGCCTTTTAAAGAGTTTCTGGATACATATTACAACAACAACTTAGACAAGTACATTTCTTGATCTAATTATGGTCATCAAAAGTTCGTTTCATTAAATTGAAAATTTGAGATGCTTGTTCTATAACTCGAAACAGTTTACCTGCCGGTAGATCTAGCTTAACCGATAGCTATCTGTTGAAGTTATATTAGATAATCCAGAACGTATTTTTTTCGCTTCCAGAATTAATTACTTAGCACATATAAAGTGTAAAAAAAGAAATCAATATTTTAAATAAAAAAAATTACAGTGTGTTTGGTAATAAAAAGGTTATTTTACCTAAAATTTATTTAAAAAAAAATTTTCATAAAAGATGAAAATAAAAAATAAATAACTTGCTTTTTTGAATTTTTCACATTAACTTTGAGATTATGTGAAAAAGTTTTTAATGCAAAGGTTATAGATTTTTTTATTATCTATAACTTTGCCATATAACTTGCTTCCATAGGACCCGCAGTTTTGCCACAAATCGAGATAAGACGTTGTTAACCCTTAAAAATTTAACATCCCCTTCCCCTACCTATTCACCACCACTGATCGCCCGTAAACTATTTTTCCTTCCATTTTTGTTATTTTATCTTTCTTTTCCAATGGATTTCATTTTACTATGAATATTGTTTGCTTTCGAAAATTATCTTTTCTGGTCTATTAAAATTTTTTCATTTTAATGCAATGATAATTAAATAAATTTCCAGAGTGAATTTCCATAATTATTTTATTGTAAGGATAACTATTGTAGTGATGTTTACATTTGCACTGCAGACACAAACATTTTCTTAAACAATATGTGTGCTAATTAAAACATGAATACTCGTGCACACATATTATTATCAAATACATAATACGAAATTAAGTTTAAGGTAAGTTGAAATTTTTGAGAATTTGCTCAGCTAAGCTGCCACTTTCTTTGCTCTCCTTGATAGCGCTGACGATATCGGTAATGACTGGAAGAAGTAGAAAAAAATAAAAATATATACGCATGTATGTTTATACAAAAAATAAAAATATTTTAGTGAAAACATAGTGGTCTACATAATCTCAAAGGAACCATACTTAGAAGTTTCATTATAAAAGTTCTAAAATGCTGCTATACTTAACACTAAATATTGGTATATTTATTCACTAACTTTTTCGTTCATTAGCTGACATGAGCAGTGATAATATTCCAACTTGATTATTTTTACTGATTTCCAATAGTGTGCTAGCGATACCTTCATCCTTCTGCACTAAGTAAAAGTCGCGCAGTGTATGTAGCAGGTCCGTTAGCGTGTCCGAATCGAAACCAGCGCCGAGAACTTTACGTAAATGTGACACATCAATGCTCTGTAAATGTAATAAAAGCATATATACATAGTAATTAGCATAAAAAGTTGTTCATAACAACAAATTTAGTATTTGCAGCAAAAAATTGTATTTTCAAAATAATTAAATAATAAAACAGCAATTGGCATACCTTTAAGTACTTGTACTTTTGCGCAGGCGTTAATTCTTTCCAATTCGAGTAAAATTGCGCTGTAGATGTGGGTGTTGGTGGTAGGGGGCGCTAAAATAAAAGATAAATTATTTTGCTTCAATAAATATATTAAAAAATTGTGATTAAAACGAAGTTAAAATATAATTTAAATGCAAAAAAGTAATTAAATATAAAAATTAATAAAAAATGTAATAAAATAAAAAGGTGAAAAAATAATAATAATAATAAAATAATATTAAATTAATATACAACAAAATATTATAACAGTACATGATCTTCAATCAAACTATTAATATAAATCAATTGAAATCAACAACGTGACATACAAACATACAATGCGCATTTGTTAAATTTAAACACATATTTTATTTTGAGACAATTTATTAAGTTTATAGCCACTATATAAACACAAAACAAATCACCAGTAAACAAACTAATTTAATAATACTACTTATAACAAATATTTTTATAACCAATTTGTTTTTGATTTTTAAAAATCTATATTTTTTTTTTTGATGTTTTGTTTAAATTTTTAATAATAAGGCTGTAAAATTGTTAACATATAATAAAATTTGTGCTTGCAAAATTTTTTTTGGCATTTCAATAGATTGGCACTAAAATATTTTAAATTTCTAATAAACTACTTTTGCTATTTGGCACCATTATTCAATGACAATTACCCATAAATTAAACAATTAACCATAAATAAGATTTCCCACATAGAATGCAACATATAATATTTGCTAACAAGTTGAAAAATAAATAGTAATAAATTCATAATTGACTTATTTCCTCAGTCTGCGTTTAAACAAATTTTGGCTACTCTGTTTAATGGCGTCAAAAAATCGTATAAATATAGCGATTAACGCGGAGAAAAAGGAAAAAAATGCGCTTACGTTTCCACTCAGTAATTGCACATCCGTGCCAGCCGTCGCGCAAGATTTATTTACTTCGATCACTGAGGTTTTTTGATCATCTTTGGCATTTTGATTTTCATTAAATTTATTCGTAACTGTGGATACTTTACTCAAAGCTGCAGCAGGTTTGACGGGCGTTTTGTCAGCGGCAGCATTATTCGACTTCTTGACTTCCACAAATGGACCACAATTACTATTAAACAATTTATCTATATCTTCATCGGAGATTTTCAAATTAGTATTTTCACAATTTTTCGTATCTTTTGGGCCAATCACATCAGCAATGGGAATACGTCGCAGCGGTTTGCTTGAGCGTTTATATGGCGGCTTGTCGATTGGTAGTATGTCAATCATGTCAGCACGTGGCATGCAAAAGTTTGGACCCTTGGCGCTTTTTACTGAAAAAAGAAAAGCATAAGTAATATAATAACAGAAATTTTAAGTAGCCAGCGGCTTATTTGTCGTAAAAATATTTTTAAAATATAATTCTATAAATAGAGCGACTAATATTAGTATTATTTGGCTTACGCATTTGTGTCTTTATAAAATAGCGTTGTACTCACCATTTTTTCGTAACCTTTCATTGATGCGCTCTAAACTTTTATTTGCTTCTTTATTTTTAGGTTCGATCATGAGCACAGTCGTACAATCTTTAAGTGCATCCATATCGTTGCCCAAACACTCATTCGCTTGCATGCGCCGATAGTATGCCTTAACGGATAAACTGTCGATTTCTATGGCTTGTTCACAATCTTCAATGCATTCATTATATCTAAAAAAAAGTTCAATGTAAGTTTTTAAGCATTTCTTTGCTTATTTGTGTCTAACCTTTCCAACTTTAAGTAACACAACGCGCGATTGCAAAAATATACTGGATCCTCTGGAAATATATCAATTGCCGTGGAGTATTCATTAATAGCTTTTTCATATTCTCCCAGCTTAACATTTTTATTGCCCCTATCCTTTATTTCATTAGCTTGTTTACGTTTTTCCTCGTTGGCATCAAGCGGCTTCTCTAATTTTTCCGTGGGTGTTGTAGCTAGTTATTACATGCATATAATATAAAAATAAATTAAATGTACAATTTATAAGTAAATGTTATGCTTACTACCGCTAGAACTCGATGGTGAATTATCATTATCCTTGGCAACGGAGTTTGTTCTAGAACTTGGCTGTTGTTGTTTTTGCTGTTTGTTATTCTGCGCAGGTTGTTTCTCTGCAAAAATATGACTTCGTATTGGCAAATTTACTTGCTGTTCATTTGAAAGAGAAATATTGTTAGTTTACTTATAATATTAACTTTGAATAATTTCAATTTGCCTCTTCTTTTTCAACGTTAGTTGGACATCGATGTAACTCCTTTTCTTTGGCCTTCATTTCCTGTTCCCAACTGTAGAGATCATTGAGTGTATTTCGCATCTCCTCTGCATTATTGCGCACTTGCAATTGTATTTCATGCGAGTTTTTAAAAGCATCCATTTTATTTGCTATTAACAATTTTTTATAAGATAATTATTTAGTAAAAATGTTCAATAAAACTGAAAGCGCGCTGAAAGCTATTAAGTTGACTTGCTTTGTTTTCTAGCTGGTTCAATATGAATGATGTGAAGATGAACTGTCATGTCACGTTGGGGCTGCTTCCAGAGAACGTATATCATCATACGTTCTTTGCTTCACATCAGATGTTTGATAGGCCATTCACGGTTGCTGCATTTAAAGTAGAATAATAATAATTTATTAGTGAGAATATTTAGAGATTTTTAATGAATATAAAGATATTTATAGTACTAATATATTTTATATTGCCAAACAATTGTATTTTTCGTTCTGTTTCAAACATGTGAATTATTGTGAATGGTAGAAATTACTTACAGGTGTCGCTGTACAGCGTTACCGCTATAAACAACAACTGCAAAGTTGCGTAGGCGTACACCATTTTGTACGGAAACAGTTATTCGTCAAGTTCAGTGGAAATTTAGTTTCGCGGAGGAAAAAATGTAATTTAATCGGTATACTCAACAAAAATCTGTAAAAACGTTGATAAAATGTTAACATTGTTGAATTGATTAAATAAAACTTCCAGTTGCATCTTTATTGCGCGGTGCAAGTTCGGTGGAGAAAACTGGAAATATCTGGTTTTTTAGACAAATATCCGTTTCCTTTCTAAAAATGTCCGTGTCAACTTTGATTAGGCGTCAAATTGAATTCAAAAAGTATTAACAATTTCGAAAGTATGAACTGTAGACTAAATTGGATAGCGGAGCGCTAGAGCTCCACAAGTGTGCAAAAAAAAAATCAGAATAAGCGCATCATAACCAAAAATTCATGGGATTTTGCAAACAATCATTAACAGATGTCGCGATATGAGATTTTGTTAGTACGTCACAACTGCTAAGTTGCTCTTGTAAAGTTATTCGGAAAATATTTTGTCCTACCACAGTTATCTGTACGCTTTTGTGAAAACTTATTATTTCAAGCAAAGAAAGTGGTTTATGGTATTCAGTTTAAAATGTATTGAAGAATAAATATAGCGGTTACAGTGCTAAAAACAGCATTTATCATTAAATAACGTTGTTAGCACCAGTTTTATTATGCAATGCAACTTTAATGCAGGAAATGGATCCACAAGTGAAGAAAAAATAACAATCGGGACTAGATAAAAAATTCTTTGTGCTTATTGTAAATATCAGAAATGCAGATGCCGCTGTACAAAGTCACCACCAAACCGGTTAATAAAAAAAAAATTTAATTTACCGAAAGGAAACACGTACAACCTGCGTTATCAATCATCCTATGACCGGCGATTCAATGCACAATATTATTAACTTAATTAATGTAACTATGAAATTATAAGTATTAATGGATGAAAGTATGAGCTGTAGACATAGAAATTAAAAATTTGCAAATGTCATGCTTTTCAATGAAGATAAATTAACTACGTAAATTAAAAAGTCATTAATATTACAGAAAAACAACATAAATAGTTCCAAATTTCTTTACTGATGGTGAATATTGAAAATCATCAACAGATGTCGCTGTACGATATTTTCGATACCGATACTTTGTGAACATATATACAAAAGACAACTTTTGGTTTATTTGATATTAAAAATTTTTTGGAGTTATTAGTCAATGTGTGTAAAAAAATAATAATAAATATGAACATTTTCCAAGTGTTTAAGTGAAAGCTATTATTATATTTATGTGTATATAATGTCATATTCGCTCTTTTTAATATGTAGTGCGCGTGTGATGTAGAAGGTATGAGGTTTTAGTTAAGCATGTTGTAGTGTTCGTTCAGTGTTTCTAGCATCAGCAATTGTAGTGTAATGTGAAATGAAGAAAGGGATAAGAAGTATGCAGTATAAACTGACGAAAGAGCTATTTGCAGATTTTGGTGGAACCAGAATACGAATAGGTGAGTGATTAGAAAAAATAAATTACCTTACTAGGAAAAACTTGCATTAACTTGTATTTTATACATATACAAAGGAAAAATTTATTAAAATAAGTAACATTTGAATGGCAAGAGGGAAATCTTTGTGGATAATGTTTATATATGCTCAATATAATTTTTGCTAATGATTTTATACTAAAAATATTATAGCAATTGCTATAAACTTACTGATTGACTCGCCATAATTTTTCGCCGGTATGGCAGTGTATTTTGGTAATACAGTTTTTTTTTTTGCTTTTTGATTTGTCTAGAAATTAGGTGTTTACATTTTTATATTATATTTTCTATATATTAATGTTTTCTAAATAAAAAATATCATCTCAATAAAATGACAAAACTTTACAATTTGTTTTGACTTTGTAGTGCAGAAGGCTCTGAATATGATAAAAAAAAAGAAATAGAAAAAAAGTATTTTTCCTTTAAGGTTTGTTATTTCATTTCTCGTTTCCGATAGGTTTCATCCCACTATGCTGTTTTTTGTTTTCGAAAATTATCTACTCTGGTCTATTGGAATTTTTTACTTCTAAACCCGTGTACTCTTTTCTTTTGCATTTTTTAAATAAATATTTAGTGTTTTGGTGTAGTATATAGATATAGTCATCATATGTATGTATAGTATATACTGTAAATGTCATAATATATTATCAACTAAATTCACATTAGTCCTACAACGCGTAGATAGGCGCGAAACCCCATTTAACACTTACTTAAAAAGCATACACAAAAATTAATACATATATGTATATGTACATATGTATGTATATATATTTTTACTCGTTTATATCAAAACCCCTGTATCTCATTATCCATTCCGTCACTATCCACATGACACTTCAGCATAGGGAATCGACGTCCGCGCCTGATTAGGAAAATAATTATACCATCGCGACTGCTGAAAAGTGAAATTAATTATTTACGTATACACACATACGAATATACATACCTACCTACGACTTGTGGGTAACCTTAGCACTTGGACTCGTAGACGAGGAAGAAAAATTGCAGTTATTAGACTAAGTTTACATTTTTCACACAAAATAACTTCATAACATTGTGGAAATTCTAAATTGTGTCTTAATGCGAATTTTATGCATCGCTGATATTATACGAGCATATGCTATGTTCTGGAGTGTGGCTGCTGATTACTTTGCTCACGGCTCCTACTCGGTTCTGTATTAACATATCCATATAATTTTATGCATAGGAATAAGTCATATTAATAATGCGAACACATGTTTATTTATATAAAAAACAATGCATTTACAGTTAAAATTTATTTTTTAAGTCATTTGAATTTGTTTATTATACACTGAAAAGGGTATTTTACGTTAAAAAAACGTCGATGAACTTATTAAGTGCATATGTATATGTGTATGTATATAAAATATCAGTGTGACGACCTGAGTTAATTTACTCATTAGCAGTTTTTGAGATATCGATATGAAATTTTGCACATGTTCTCCTCTCCCCAAGCAGCTGCTCATTTGTCGGAACCGCCGATATTGAACAACTGTAGCATATAACTGCTGTATAAACTGATCAATCGAAAAGTTCTCGTATGGAAAACTTTTTATTTTAAATTATTCCGATAGGATCACCATAGCATATAACCGCCATACAAACTTGCCGATCAATATCAAGATAAAGATTATCCTAAAAGATATTATTTTCTTACTAAGTAACTTAACTTAAATTCGATTTGAGGGTTGTTTATATCAAACAACGTGGCTAGAAAGAGCTAGGAAAACGTTTTCATTGGGATTCCAACCGTTTAGCCGTCAGATTTGGTTATGCTTATAGTGGCTATAAGAAATGTTCCAGTAAAAGGTATTATATTTGTATTGTTATATTGTCGTATCGTTAAATCGGATTTTTATTTCGTATTCTAGGCTCTTGAAACATATACATTTATGCACCAACATCTGTCACATAAAACTAACCACTGCTTGATTTTCAATACATAAAAAAAAATTATATAAAAATAATACATAGTGACTGGAATTGTCCAAAGCCTACTAACAAAATACATAGGTTATTTGGCGTCCTGAGAAATTCATGTTATTCAAAATTACATATAATTACGCGTCTTTTTTTCAAGTTTCGTTATATATTTAATAAAAAGAACGTTGGTCGCAAATTTTTTTTCTCCAATCAAAAGCAAATGCAGCGGCAATGTATCCACCTTTGTGCATAGACGATTTATCCGCGTCTCGTGGCCCCCCGAATTGTCTGTCTGTCAGTTGGGATGCTGTCGCTCCGATTTGCACTGCGTCTGGCTTGCTCAAGCAGCTACATAATTACGCATCACTTTTACTCTTGCGCTCTTGTATTATTATAATTTTTTTTTGCAAATGTTGTTCATTTTGTATTTGTTATCTCGTTCTTTTAAATTTATTTATGAACTGCGTAGCTGAACTTGACCCACAGCGTGTGAGAAAGTTATGTTAGAAAATTGCGTGCGTGCTCATGTTGGTTTTTTTTAAAGCTGTGTTTTTTTTTTTTAATTTTTGATTGTACATTGTTTTTATATCTGCAGGATTGCGTGTTTCCTTTTAATTTGCAACATTATTATAACTTTAAGAGAATAAGGCAGTAAGAGTTTAATTTGCCTAAAATTATGGGGTTTTAAAAGTTTTGAAAATTCGTTACTTTTTTGTTGTCTCTTATGCTTTGTGCATATAGCGCTTATTTAAAAAAAAAAGTTTCGGAGAAAATACCGTATAGTTGTAGTACCGAATCACTTTTGGTGTGTTCGTATATATACAGATAAATAGACGAGCAGACAGATGGACATGGCTAAATCGACTTAGTTCGTCAAGCTAATTATTTATGTTCAGGCTCTAATAATTAAATTTAAAGTAATAGTGATAATAATAACTTTGAGTTTTTATCAGTGCCAGCCCTGATTTATTTACTTTAATTTAAATAATATATAAAATAATTAACAAAGTTACTTTATTTATAATATAACTTAATTATAGGTTAAATTTTGTTGTTAAGGCAAAACAGGCTTTGAAGGGACGGAGAATTTGGCATTTGCCTAGGACGGTAAATTGTCTCGGGACGGCCCTGGTTTATATATTGACAAGTATTTGATCGTTTCTTGATAAGATATTTCATAGCTTGGTGTCAAAATTCGATAAATTGTTTTTAAGTATACTCTTCTTTACTTAACTAAGAGCTCTAACGGAT